GAACATTACTTTGTGTCGTAGAGTTGCAGCTAAAGTATTACGCTTTATCGTGATATTCTTGAAAACTCTTTAAAGATAACATGAAAGTACAGATGAACTGGTACAGGTGAAACCTTCAAAATCAAGGCCACATTTGACTAACAGCACAGAAGTACCTAAAGAAGAAAGTAAACATTTAAAATTCAATACCTCATCCTTCGAACTGACTTCCTGGCCCTCCATTGTTGTATAAGTTCTTACACAATCCGTGCAGGAAGGCAGATATATAAATCAGTTAAGGTAATATTCTAGAATGTTACGAATTCTGAATCACAAGAGAGAGAATTGCCACAAGGTTGTTCTAAATGGGTAGGCAATAGACTACTGACACACCCGCCGTGCCACAGTTGCCAACTCGAAAAAGCTAATGACGCTATATTTACTTCTGGACGGAACTAAACACTGAAATAACAACGAAGACATGCTCTTCGAAATATATTATGTTCTTTGTGGTGCCAGATCACTGATAATAAGGGCGACTAGCTGTTTTAAATACAATGTCCATGATCACAAAATCTAACCGTTGTAACGTGAGCTCACAGATAACATACAACGAATAGTAACTGGTGACGTGTTGAACCCAGCCAGGGTAAATCTTCTTATAAAGCAACAAACGAAATAAATAATCAAGACTGACTAAAACGGGCGTAAGAAAAGAAATGTAGGAACATGAATTTAAGGAAAGGAATGTACGAAAGCGAATGTAAGAAAAGGAATATCAACCATAACTTTAAGGAAAGAGTAAAATGACAGGGTTTTAGGTATTTTCAATGCAGAATGTCACTTTTTTGAGTATTATAAAATTGGACAAAAGAAAAGGGAGAGAGAAAAAAACGGAATAAATTAAGAGTGGGATTTGTCGCTGCTTTGAGTTATATAAAAGCGGAATGTCAATGTTTTGCGTTTTATAACAAGGGAATGTCGGTGTTTTGAGTATTATAAGAGCGGAATGTCGGCGTTTTGAGTATTAAAAGAGCGGAATGTTGGTGTTTTGAGAATTGCAAAAGCGGAATGTCGGTGTGTTGAGTATTATAACAGCGGAATGTTGGTGTTGGTATGCAAAAGCGGAATGTCGGTGTTTTGCGTATTATAACAAGGGGATGTTGGTGTTTTGAGTGTTATAATAGCGGAATATCGGCGTTTTGAGTATTATAAGAGCGGAATGTTGGTGTTTTGAGTATTGCAAAAGCGGAATGTTGATGTTTTGAGTGTTATAAAAGCGGAATGTCTGCGTTTTGAGTATTATAGTAACGGAATATCAGTGTTTTGAGTATTATAGTAACGGAATGTCTGCGTTTTGAGTATTATATAAATATATATATATATAAATACATTTTTCTACATTCCTTTTCTTACATTCGTTTTAGTCAATCCCAAAACTCCTAACATTAGCTGACTTTTTTAACGTTGAAATCTGGATTTCTGTTATTTACTAGTGGGTCCGAGTTTCAGGTCACGTTAATGTTATTGGCTAGCAGACATGATAAACCGATCCCACCATCATCCACTAGTGCCAACTACTGCGTGAACTGGCTATTGTAATTTTGTTTTGTCATTTTCATTTATACATAACTTGTGCCATAAGCGCTTAGTCATCTAGGAGTTAATTCTTAGGATTACCTTGTATTTCCTGTTTGCCCTATTCCTGAATTTTTGTAATATTATTATCGCTATTAACGTCATATTACTATCATCATCATCATCATCATCATCATCATTATAATAATAATAATGATAATAATGATGATAATAATAATAATGATTATAATAATAATAATGATAATAATAATAATGATGATAATAATGATAATGATAATAATGATAATAATAATGACAATAATATTAATAGTAATAATGATAATAACAACGATCTTCATCTTTATTATCATCGTCATTGTCATTATCATTATCACTAGCACTATTATTATTATTATCATCATCGTCATTATCATATCACTAGCACTAATAATTATTATTCATCATCATCGTCATTATCATTATCACTAGCACTATTATTATTATTATCATCATCATCGTCATTATCATTATCACTAGCACTATTATTATTATTATCATCATCATCGTCATTATCATTATCACTAGCACTATTATTATATTTATCATCATCATCGTCATTATCATTATCACTAGCACTATTATTATTATTATCATCATCATCGTCATTATCATTATCACTAGCACTATTATTATTATTATCATCATCATCGTCATTATCATTATCACTAGCACTATTATTATTATTATCATCATCATCGTCATTATCATTATCACTAGCACTATTATTATCATCATCATCATCATCGTCATTATCATTATCACTAGCACTATTATTATTATTATCATCATCATCGTCATTATCATTATCACTAGCACTATTATTATTATTATCATCATCATCGTCATTATCATTATCACTAGCACTATTATTATTATTCATCAT